ATACAAAACTATAGACTTTGTATTTTGACATCACAAACATCTAATTTGAACCAGTTGATGCATTCAACTTACCACATGACACAAAGATCAAATAATATATAATACTAAAATTTGATACCAAATTTATTGACATACATTCATGTTCATGGTTATATGTTACATATAAATATTAGTACAGTATTATAGGTCAAAAAGTAATAAAATTAAATGTGTAAGCTGTTGAATAAACAGGCAGATCAAACTGTTGTTTAACATGTTAAAAAAAAGGTCACAAACTTGACTAACAAACTTTTTTAACCAAAATAACTGGCACGGGCCAAATCAAATACCAAAATGTGAACACAACATTTACATGGGTTGGGTTGTTTTGTACCTGGGATTATGTGCTTGGTGATTTACAGAAACATTGATATGTTGTAATATAAAAAGTAAAAGCACATTCAATTATATACTTACTGTAAATTTTAGATTTGAACATTTTTAATACCACACTATCAGCTTCTACTTTTTAATCTGGTCAGAGATTTGAGCAGTGTTTACTACGTTGATGAAGAGAAGTTATTAAAATACTGGTATCTAAAAACAAACGTTTTTTTTTCCTGTACTTTTACATATTTCTAAAAAAAATGTGCCAGGGATCTGTCTATTAACCATTCTGGCTTGAATATGTGCTGGCTTGCAGGTAAACATTTTATGTATTCTCAAGAAATGTTTCTTTTAAGATCTGGTTGAGATAGGACTTTACTAGAAATCCTTGGTCATCAGTAATTCCTTATAAACTGTTTATAGGTTACGGGAAAGTGTGGAAGTGTCTTGGTACGACTGATTCCTGCTCCTCGGGGTACCGGCATTGTGTCGGCTCCTGTACCCAAAAAACTACTGACCATGGCAGGAATTGAAGATTGCTACACATCAGCTCGTGGGTCTACTGCCACCCTTGGAAACTTTGGTGAGTGTTAAACCATGAACTCTGATGCTTAAAAATACAACGTTTGTTCTCGTATATCACAAGTTGTAGTCATGCAGAGGTTATTTTACATTTCAAGTATAACAATCTGCACAGTATCCTAAACTGGTATAAAACACAGATGTTAAAAAAAGTGAATATCATATCTGTGGTACCTATTGGAACTGTATGAATTCATTTTTGTACTCTATAAAAAATGTGAATACTACTTTCTGTAAGTTTAAATATTAAAGAAAGGTTAGTTTTTATGTATGAAACACACAGATAAAAAGTGAATATCATATCTGTGGTACCTATTGGAACTGTATGAATTCATCTTTGTACTCTGGTTCTATAAAAAAATGTGAATACATACTTTCTGTAAGTTTAAATATTAAAGAAAGGTTAGTTTTTATGTATGAAACACACAGATAAAAAGTGAATATCATATCTGTGGTACCTATTGGAACTGTATGAATTCATCTTTGTACTCTCTATAAAAAATGTGAATACGTACTTTCTGTAAGTTTAAATATTAAAGAAAGGTTAGTTTTTATGTACGAAACGCACAGATAAAAAGTGAATATCATATCTGTGGTACCTATTGGAACTGTATGAATTCATCTTTCTACTCTGGTTCTATAGAAAATGTGAATACGTACTTTCTGAAAGGTTAGTTTTTATATACGAAACACACAGATAAAAAGTGAATATCATATCTGTGGTACCTATTGGAACTGTGTGAATTCATCTTTGTACTCTGGTTCTATAGAAAATGTGAATACGTACTTTCTGAAAGGTTAGTTTTAAAAACAACACATTTTTTATTTTAAATATTTATCAGCAGTAGAAGGTCAGTGCTGAATACGCAACTTTAAACAATTAAACAAAATACTAAACTAATAAAACTGTTAGATATAAATATGTAGATGTTTCATTTATGATTCAGAGAAGCTGGGTTTGTGAATGTTATTAATTACCAAAAAGTCTGTTTTTTGGTTTCACTACTCTGCTTATCATTTGTATTTTCTTCTTGAACTCCCCAAAAAGTGGATCTTTCTACCTGGTTGAGCTTAATTTTTCTCACTGAATTAGTAAAAATAAATCCAAGAAGGTATACGTGTATAATTATCATGAGAAGGCTTCTAATTCTCATCTTTTCTTCTCAGCCAAAGCCACGTACCTTGCTATTCAGCAAACCTACAGTTATCTAACACCTGAGTTGTGGAAGGAGAATTTGTTAACCAAGTCACCCTACCAGGAGTTTACGGACTACCTGATTGCATCACAGAAGGCTGTGGGTGCTGCTAGGCAAGAACAGCCAGCATAATAAACTTTGATACTTTTTTTTAAATAATGTAGTTTTAAACACTGTGTTATTCCATTTATGTATTGGTCTAAGAAAAGGGAAAATAAAAATTTACACCCAATAATACATACTTTTAAAGTTCTCTGTGGCAACTTCAAAACTGTAGATAGACATGAATTTTTGTTAAATCACCTGGAGGAAATGTCTCGTAGCAAAGTGTCACTTTACGTTACTATAGCAGAATCTGTTTTTATTTTATATGAAATATCTGATTTGTATTTCACGGTTTTCAACGATTTGGTCAAACAAATGTCTTTTAATTTCATGCTAAATGTAGAAGAATATATCAGGAGAATTTGATCAATGTTATTCTATGATCACAAAACTAATTATATATGTACATACAAATTAATATCTGGGAATTATGTTAGGAATCTGAAAAACTATGAGTTTGTGTGATGGTAACCAGTTGGTGAGGAAATAATTAACACGTGACATAATACAGACTGTTGTAGTATGTGGTTACCTTCTATTAAAGGTGGTTAAAGTAAACCCAAGAAGAACAGCTGTTGTAAAACCACTTGTTAATCAACACGTGAAATCACTGTTATAGTATGTGGTCACCTTCTATTAAAGGCAGTTAAAGTAAACCCAAGAAGAACAGCTGTTGTAAAACCACTTGTTAATCAACACGTGAAATCACTGTTATAGTATGTGGTCACCTTCTATTAAAGGCAGTTAAAGTAAACCCAAGAAGAACGGCTGTTGTAAAATCGCTGGTTAATCAACACATGACATAATACAGACTTTTTTGAAACCACTGTAATAGTATGTGGTTACTTTCTATTAAAGGTAGTTACAGTAAACCCAAGAAGAACAGCTGTTGTAAAACCACTGGTTAATCAACACATGACATAATACAGACTTTTTTGAAACCACTGTTAAAGTATGTGGTTACCTTCTATTAAAGGTGGTTAAAGTAAACCCAAGAAGAATGGCTGTTGTGAAACCGCTGGTTAATCAACACGTGGCTGAATTTTTCTGGAATCAATGTGTTAAAAATCATTGATGTTCTGAGCTTTTAACCCTCTAACCAGATCTTTCAGTAGACAAATGTGCACACTGACCAACATTAGTTCATTCCTTAAGTTGAAAGACTGGTAACTGAAGAATAAAGACAATCAGTTTGGAACAGTGAATAAATTATCTTTTTATCAGGGTATTTTCTTCACTTAGTATTGTCTTGGATGAATACAGTTTTTTTTTTTCCTGCAAGCTATAACATATCCAGTCACCAGGATTTATGCTTCTCATCCTACATCAGTTATTTTGCTTTGCGGGACTCTGGCTTCCTTGGAAACCCATATTTCTTTGGGGCATAGACCTTGCAGATTCAAAGGATTCATTCTTGGGTTCCATTGTCCTCATTTGTGAATCTCCCCCTCTCCTTGAGGAATTGTCATTGTGACTGGACCAAGCCTATAATACTTCCAGTGTTCCCCAACCCACTCTCAAAACAGATTTATCTCTCACTAATTCTTCCCTCTCTGATAGAGGTGCATCTGCAAATGAGGAAATGACTTGTGGCATTTGGATGCAGATTGAACATTTACTCTACATCGAGTTGCTTGTACTTCTCACTGTTTGTCAGGTATGTACCTATTCCTATTGGTAGATCACTTGGTCATAATCTCCTTTGATGATCCCATGGTTGTTTCTTACATCAACCATCTGGGAGGAGCCCATTTCAGGACCCTTTGTTTTTGGGTGTTGGACCATCTCTTCTGGGCCCATTCACATTGAGTTTGTCTTGTTGCTTGTCATTTGCAAGGAGCTAAAAACTTGTTGGGGTGCTGCCTCTCTCTGTAGGTCTGCATTCTTCCAACAGAGTGGTCTCTCACCCCCAAAGTCTTTTGTTAGGTTTGCTCTCAGTTGGGCACTCCCACCATAGATGCCTATGCCACCCTTTTCAATTCCAGACTTACTTTCTTCTGGTCCCCTGTTTTTCATCCTTTGGCTCTGGCTGTCAATGTTCTTTTTACTTCTTTCTCTATGTATGTTGTCTTCATCTCTTCTCTTTGGCCAGCTCAGCCATGGTTTCCTCTGTTTCTTTGCTTAGCATCTAGACCCTTCTTCCTCTACCCAATATCCTCTCTTTATTTCTCTTACTTGAACCTCACTTGTTCCTTTTTCATCGAGAGACATTGCCCCCTTTCTATCTTCAATTGTGGGATTAGTCTGGACCATCACCCATTAGGCCAGACTCTCCAATTGCATGGCATTCTTTTTGTTACATTTCTGTTGCTCTTTCACTGTGTCTTTCTATCAGTGAAAGTGACAGGTCTTTTGTTATTGGTCAGCCCACCACTTCTTTCCCCTTGGCCATCCTAATGGGAACCACTTTTCTGCCTTTTTTTTACCTGGCTGTTGGTCCATGGTTTGTCAGTCTCCACCACTGTCTATTGCATTTCGTCTTTCCTTGGTACCACAGTGTTTTTTTTCTCCTTCCTAAGATTCCTACTATTAGGAAGATAAATGTACTTTCTTTCCTACCTCCCTTCCTTTACCTATATGATCATTTGAACCCAGATTGGCTCCTATTGCCTGTTTGGTGATACTTACCATGGACTGCTGTTCTTCCTGGGTCTTCTACCCTAACTAGATGAAACCATTGACTCCTTTTGCCTTGTTTATGAGCTCATTGCTGTCCTAATTTAGGATCTTTTTTTAATAAGTTCTTAAAAATGTTAAAAAGAGAGAGAGAGAAAGGGGCCCTGGCAAGGATGTTTGCCCATGCTGGCTCTCGAAGCTCTTGCACTGACCACTTTTGTGCAAATGCTCAACTAGTTGGTCATATTCTCATCACACCTCTTCCCTCCTTTACCTTCTGGGCAAAGAGCATACTTTGGTGGAGACAAGATGCAGTCTCCCACAGGTGTACCTCTATTGTGCTCCTGCCATCAAATGTCCCACTCCATAGACGTCCCTTCTGAAGGGAGCTCATCTAGGTAAAATTTTGCACCAGCCTCTCTAACATTTCAATGTGGGATTCTAGTATTTCTGTTTGAAGAGGCAACTAATTGCCTAAAATTAAATTGTATTTCTGATACATTCTCACCCATTATCCCCACTTGTGGTGCATTTTTTTTGTCTTTCCTTGTCAAAGAATTAAGTTATCAAGAGTGCAAGTGCATAGAGGGAGTAACCAAGCATGGAGATTGTGTTGCCCTCCTATTGGTGGAGGGCTTAAGTCACGATGCACAAGTGAAGTCCATGTTTAACACTTGAACTTAGGCGGGATAGCTAATCTGCGTGTCGAGGAA